AAATCCGCCGAAACGTCAGCTCATTTGTGAATAAAGAATAATAACACCTCGCGTTTGCTCAACAAAAATACGAAGAATAAACAACCTTCTTCGCATTATGATGACTAATCACTGGTACAGCAGCAAGATTCTCTATGAGCGAGTGAACTAGATACTTCTTATCTTTAGCTTTCTTGAAGAACGAATATTTCAGAAGCTCCGAAGCGGTTGGACGCTTTGTCGGATCCTTCTGGAAAATTTAATGTAAAGTAAGCTTGAAAATGGAAAAAAAACCTTTTAAAGCATTAACTAATTGAAAACGTAGACTTGAAATTATAGTGGTCAAATATGATATCGCGGTATACAACGAACCTGAAGACAGTCCTTGATTAAAGCGCGAAACGATTTGCCATAGGCTTTATACTGATCTTTACGTTCAGCGTTCGTTTCCAGAGTAGGTGGATCATTTTGCAGAGTGAGCATCAACACCTTGGAAGACGCAGTCACAAATATAATATATTATATGAAAGAGCCATTTTGAAACATATTCTGGCTAACCAACCTTCATTGGTGGAAATTTATGATATGGTGCGGTTCCCGTAGCAAGTTCAATAGCCAGAATACCCAAACTCCAAATGTCGGCTTTAAAGTCGTATCCTTGAACTTGTTCCATCACTTCTGGAGCCATCCTAAACATAAAAAGCTCAGGTTACCTCAAATACAGTGTGCGTCTAATAAACCGAGTCCCATCTACCCCAACGCGCGCCGCACCCGGCTCCCACCTTACCATACCTGTTACTCCCCTCCCATTTCCAAATACGTAAACGTTTCCCTCACTTCGCTAAAATATGAAAATAAAATGAGAGGTTGCCGAAGTTGCAAACAGCAACTGTCACACGAACAAAGTGATGGAAAACGCTCACGCCTAACCCCCTACCATCAACCCCGAATCAACGAGGTCAAAACCCACCAGCAAGGTGTGCCGACGAATGTGTGACGAACCTTCTGAAACGCAAACACATGTGTAACACAACAAAGGACCGATTTCAAAATTCGGCCTACTATGCAATAAATTAAGGATGTCTAAGGAGGAGCAAGTAAGGCGTCGGACATTCAGTGTGTGGGGCCAGATAGAAAAAGATGTTCTGCACGACACCTTCTCTCAATCCACCCTATCATCCTCTCTAAACATCATCGACGAAAAATAACATGATAAAAAAAGACATTATATCATATCACACAATTTAACTAAGCTAATCAATTCTCATAAAATTAACACCCTTGAAATCTGAAGCAATGCGTTGCAAAGAAACAAGATTTCTTTAATAGGACGCAACAGTAGCCTCTTGAGATTCTCCATAGTGAATTTAGGAGATAACGTATTTAGAATATAGATTCGCATGCGAACGGTAAGGTAAAAGAAAAAACGACTATGTAGCCACGGCAGTGAATGGAGATATTTCCTTAGTCTGTTGGGAATTACTTGATATTTTGACTCATATAATCTAATGGAATGGTTACAAAAGCAGCTCGTCGTTAAAAATGCATAACTTATAAAGAAAAAATGTATAGAAAACAACAAATGTAGTATACCTGACGAGAAAGATCACCGCCTGAAGAAGCTAGCCAACCAGACACACCAAAATCAGCTATTTGCACAGTACCATCATCCGAAATAAGAATATTACCCGCCTGGAAAGCAATAAACATTTTCCAGAAAGAAGTCATGACAGACTAGTTAATTTGGAGGAGATATATTTTATCGCTGGCAATCAATCTTGTAATTTCTGTCGTTCTGATGGTTGAAAAAAAAACAATACTTTTCAAAAACAACCTCATAAATCCTATCCATGAATAACATAAACAGTGATAACAGAAATAGGATTTAAGCTTTTTATTTAGCTTAGAAAACAGAACATCCTCAGGATACTGTAGGAATATCTAAAGCATTTTAACACAGTTAGCAAAACACACGGACTCACCTTGATGTCGCGATGAATCTGTCCGCTAGAATGGAAATAGTCAAGACCTTTTAGTACTTCACGTAAAACAGTAGCAATCGTTGTCTCATCTAGCACTCCATACATAGCCTGTTCTTTACCAATTGCCTGAACCGCACATAAATTTGAGGGATTCTCGATCTAGCTTTATGGTACATATTACATAGCTATAGAAGAAAAAACGCCAGATTACGCAAATGATATTGGCTCATAACTCTTCGCCATTAATTTTCATCCAACCAGAGATTAGATTATGCACTCACATAAAAAGTTTTCGTTGACAATCAATTTCAAGTCATTTAAACCTTATTTCATAGTTGAAAGAACTGTGTGCTATCTACAACTAGAACGCTACCAAAGCAGTATCCATAAAAACTCAAATTGTAGAGCGATGATACACATATAACACAACCGTAGCTGAGGTTTCTGCAGAATTGCCATCTTCAGAGCCGCTTTTTTCATGTCTTCCACCCAGGAAGAACAGCCGCTCATAGTCGCATATGGTGGACGACTCGTCATCTACGGTTGCGTTGTTTGTATGTTATTGTATGGAAGCAAACGTATGCTGTATAACCTAGCGATTGTTGAGAAAGAAAACGACGAATTTATAACCCAAACCCGAACTTAATAGAAAGTCGGTCCTGGGAACTATACAGCGATGTGCTTACCTTTATTTTCCTTTTTAGTATGTCCAACATTGAGCCACTATTCAATAGTCGCATTACTACCCATAGTTCCTCACCGACAACGAACGATGTATGGTAGCTCACCACATTCGGATGAGCGCATAATGACATTGCCTATAAAACGAACTACTTTGTCCCATCAAACACCAACTACTCGCAGAGATTTTTGCATGAGAAAGGCTAAAGCTACCTCACAGAGCATTACCAGCTATACAATACGTCTAGTCTAAATTAGTTCAGGAAAGTAGTAATGCCCAAATCACACTACAACGAATTATAAATACACAACAATTACAATACCAACCTGAATCTCATGGCTTAACTCATCCACCGATGTCTGACATTTTTCCAAATTTATACACTTAATGGCACAGCGCTCATTACGTGGTGTGCAAATGGCCTATAACAAACGTGGTAACAAGATACAGCAACATTTTGAAATAATAATTAGGATTAAAGAGCAAGGATTAGGGTTAGAATTAATTCGTTAGCAATATTTAATCAGTGAAGGTGTTCTAATGAAGGCTCATAAAAGCTCCAGAATTCCATCCTGGTAAAGAATTAAAGCATTGTCCCCATAATGATCGTTTTCGCATATTCTATCTAGTAGAATTTGTCCCTAAGAAATGAGCCATTTTGACCTTTAAAGAAGAACAGAATTAAATATAAGTGGGCGTGGACGAAAAAGTGGTGCACTTTTGTAACAAAGTTTGCTATTTCAATAACCATAATTTCGAAACAGGTCGATCGATGCTATCGAAACGAAACGCTATGTTCACCCGTCCGACAGATACGGCACACACTTCTTTTTCTTTTCGAACAACTTTTAAAGACTCCCATAATAAGGAGTTGTCCATTTTCGAACCCACATCATCCCACAATCTCTAAGCATGAGGTAGTACTTCAATGACCTCTAGCTACATCGTTTTCAGTAGTATTGTGACCAATAGAAAAGTTTCTTCATCTATCCCTTATTGTTAAAAGACCCGTCTAATCACTGAAATCGTCGCAACCATAGCATCCTGTACGATTTCATCACATATAATGTTATTCTATTTTCGATATGAAATGTGATGAGGTGAAAAAATAGCCAATCAAATCGAAATCAGGATCGTAACTTAACCTTCGTTCAAATCCTATTCTAGATAGGCTTACGAATCCGTAAAACCTTAAAAATGATCTAATACATTTAACTACAATAGCGCTTATGAAGTGGAGAAACGACGAGTAAATCTAATCATGGACATTCAGCTTAGGTGACCCTGAAGATGCGAAAATGGGAAATGGAGAAATAATAGGGTAAAATGTGATCCAATACTAACAAATAAAGGACGCCACAGTTTTTCCCTTATAAGAGAAGGATGAAGGACTAAATCTAGCCAGAGTGATTAACTTTCGATTGAATCTATTGTCTTATTATCAACACTATAAAAAACAGCAGAAATAACTTAGCAACTGGTAATACACAAACCTTATAAACAGTGGCTGTGGCACCTACACCAATAGCATCTTCCAAAACGTAGTGTTCCTTTCGATTAGGCCACACCGGTGTTGGCTGACCACCGCTTCCTGGTTGTTGCTGGTCCGTAGAAAACACTCCAGCTTCTGTGGATGTTGCTTGATTTAGGTTCACCAGTGCTGACTGTGCATTACGGTGGAGTGCTTCTCCTGAGCTGCTATTTATCGTAGAATTGGTAGAACCACAGGAAGTGAGGACGCTCGCACCACCACCTTCTGTTGAACCCATCTGCAATCAAATAGACAAGTTCAAACTGTGATGCACCGTTCAAAATAAAACACTCAGGCCACATCTCAGAAATCGTTCAAAACCACAAGCGTAGACATGTGTGCCTGGCACTAGAACGGTACTCACGTATTCACCTACGAGCAAACCTTACCACAATAGAGGAATTTTCCTCGAAAATAAATGTGAAAAAAGAAAAAAAAGAACAGCGAAATATATGAAGAAAAATGGTTGAAACTTCTTCGAGATAGTTCTACTATGTAGGAATCCTTCCAAAACCGCTTCCAATGTTTGTAAGAACAGATGCACAACTAAGGGAAGTATAGTACGCTCATGGAGGCAGACTTTGGACAGGATGTTCTCGGTACTCCAGGGAACCACACTGGCTAAACCAGCAAAACTCCTAAAAAATGGACATTATGCCGGGGCCCGTACTACCAGTGAAAACGGGCCATCGAAGTATCGAAGTAAGTATAGTACGCTCATAAATGGTGGAGCTCAATGAAAATTTGCATAAGTAACAAACATTCACCAAGAAAGCAGAACTGACATGAAACGAATTAAAAATGAAAACATTTGATAAAGGCTCGCTAAAAACGAGCTTGTTTAACACTTCGGCGTGGAGTATGTGACGTTCACCGCAACGGTATCTCCACTATTAAATGTAGGAGAAACCATGCAGTATTGAGTATTGAAATTTCTGTTAACACATTTGTTACAACATTACCGATATTGAATCACATGAAAACGAACATTGTGGCCGATATGACTCCTAATAGTTTCATATCGAGTACGGTTAAAAACTAGACGCCACGCAAAATTAGGCGTTGTCCCGAGTCCCGAACATATGTTTTAACTGCACTAGAATGCACATAGTGTACGGTTAGCATAAATAATGCTATGATCAAATCCACTTGGAGCCACTTCGATTAGCAATGAAAGGAGAGCAGAAAGATACGTTATGAAGGAAAGTCTCCACGAATTTTGTTCTTCAACAAGCTTATATTACCTCAGTTAAACCGATCTTTCCATCTTTCTTTCCAAATAGTAACATGCATTCTTTCATATCAAAGCTAGCGGTGCTTTTGCACCAGCGCAGATCTGTCAGCAATCGTCTTTAACCAGATTTAGTACTGTTTCACTTATTTGTCTTGAAAGAAATATACTGGAAAAAGTTAAACAACCATGTCTGCTGGCTTTGCACCACCACAAAAAGGAGAAAAACTACAGAATTATCAAACCGCTTAGGAATGATAAAGAAAACTAATGAGTGAACAGGGCATACAAAATAACTAAATTACCGTTACTCAGTAATTCTTTAATTGCCACTAAACAAGTGCTGAAAATTGAGACGAACTTATCCAGTACTTTCAGTTCCACGCACCATGAAAGTACTAGGTGTCGCTGGTGTGTGACATTTCTTGAATCGAAGTCGTTTACGAACGCTGTTGATCCTTCGAATGACACCACTTGGAGAACAATCACTCGTCCACATCGCTATGGTATCACGTTCAGAAATGAACAGAGTACTGACGACGACTTACGTGAAATGAATGGAGAAAATGATCCGACAACCAACTACGACAAGCAACGAGCAAAACAAAACAGCTGATAACGATTACAACAATCACTACCACATGCATACCTTAGTTAACATTCCAGTAAATCTTCGAGATCATGTGCTAACGACGGGAATGATAGCAGCGCGTCGGGAAAGTCCGCGCTATTCAGAAAGGCGTAGCACACTTTAACCAACATGTACAAAACCAGACCCTATTTCAACAAAACCTACCGTAGACATTAGATTAAGACGTTACATAGATTCTCCAGAATCACAGAGTGACAATTCTGAACAGATCACTAATTAGTCGAAAAAATGTGCTTAATCGGAACTGTCGCTTTCTAAAATTCATTTAATATCCCAAGAGTTCTGTCAGCCAAAAGTGAGATAACATCAACGGTATACCTCGAAAGGAAGTGTTTATTATAATTCCCTTCCTAATCTTCTTAAACTGGTCACTCAACAGTTTTATTAAGATAAAAGGTAAAGCGACATTCATTTAACTTCAGTATAAATGATCAATGTACCATGTTTCGCTGATAAGCTAACACAAGGTTGTTAGGTTGTTAACAAATGCTTACTCGGCTAACGTCTCGACGTATTCGTTTTCCTCAGAGCCGATGATTCGAGTCGATGTCCACAGTCACTCTTGCTCTTCCTGACGTGATATCTCCGCAGTCGCACCGACAACGAACCGAAGAAGAAGATTCGATTGCGTGCGACTACGAAGACACCACATCGGCTAGAACAAGAGCGACTGTGGACATCGACTTGAATCATGGGTTCGGAGGAAGAAAAGGACGTCGAGACCTCAGCCTAACAGATATTTGGTGACATCCTTCTGTTAGATTATCAATGAAACAAGGCACAGTGAACTTCTATTGACTTTTTGAACTTGAACTTGAACTTTTACAACATACAAATGCAAAACAGATTTCTTTCCCATGTTGAGTTCATATGAAAATCAATCTAGAAGGTCTGCTTCGATACTATTTGACTCTAGCACTTCGCAAAAAACTGCTTTGTTGTGCCATCATGGCGGGTAAGATTTTCCACAACAAATAACAATCACTTGTAGGGAATTCTATCTCAATTAAGATGTGTCTCTAAACTGTAATTCAAGTTTTAGATCATTGTGTTCAAGTTCTGGAATATGGAAAATCTTCCTATTTTATGATGGAACACTGCACTGCAAGATAATGTAATCTGTCTAAACAATAGGGGCGCGTGTGGCGCAGTGGTCGGAGGCGCCTGCAACACACACGTGGAATCGATCGTCACGCCTATGGTTCAACAAGTCTTCCATCCCTCCGGACTCGGCCAATTGGTATCAGACTTGTCTGGGAGGATAGCAGCACTGGCTCGATATATCGGTAGGCCACCGCGAGTCATTGTAAAGGCCAGATATGCATTCAATCACCTCCACACGATGCTTAATGAAGTCGAATGCATGGCGCATCCTTCAGGGATTGATCAACGCCGAGAGCTTCATCCTTTTGTCTTTTATCTAAGCAATATCACTACTAGCAATCGGTTAGGATCATTCGCACTTAACCGAAATGTATAAACATGAATACAAGCTTTGAATCCTTTTGGGAACTTCAAGGAGACTTACATTTACAAAACGTTGCAAGTGAGAGATATAGTCGATTACTAATACTGGAGTATACTCTACGCTGAATAACAGAATGATTCGCAGGTTCTCTTTTAGGTCATACCAACGAAGTACACTGGAACAGATTTGTAAAGTTGAAAACAAATACAACAACACGTCACGTCATTTTAAACAGCAACTACCTTAATCCAAATGATAACCAAATCAACTAGCTGCCGATATCTGGTTTAGGTTTTCGTAGAACTCGTACAGACTAATCAACTCGAAGACGAAAACATCGAAACGTTAGCCGAGTAAAGCTATCTATCAACCTTGTGTCAGCTTATCACAGAAAGAATACATGATAACTGCCGATGTTTTCGAAGAACCCCGCAAACTAGCCAACTCTACGAATATCCACCAAGGAATTTGCTCTGCGGACAAATATCTTTGCCATATATGTGCATTGTGGGCATTCAATGTGCATTTGTTGGAATCTATATGTTATTTTCTTTCACTATAATTTACTTTATTAGTACAATTATGGGCAGTAGATCATTTATCTCATATTGGCAATAGAATACGGAATTATACACCGTTCATAAATGTACGAGTCAAAGTAACTGCGAAAACTTCCACCATATCAATATCAACACCACAGCGGCATTTCATCGAAGTCGATCTCTATTGAGAATAAAGTCTGTGACAGCATGCAGGACGCGATTGTGTAATCATACCCTATCACATGACGGAACGATCATTTCCAACATAAATCATCAAAAGAAAACGACGATACTCATTCCTAAGATCAGCATTTGCAGTATTTCAAATGACAACTCAAACCACCAAGAGTGTGAACGTTCCAGAAAATCTTGTTCAAAACCCAAATAAAAAACCAAGCTCAAAAACGAAATGAAAAAAGACGCTGAAAACGAGCTCTTTAAGAGAATACGGACAGAAAACGGAAACCTTGAAGGTTTGGGATATACGATTCAAATAGCAAGAGCTGTAGCCTTAACACACCAAATTAAGACTGGAATTACCAAACGAAATAGCCTTTCACTTTGTAATGCCAACCTCGGTGCTTAACCACATACATTGTGGAAGTACCTCACGACAAAGTCCAGCTTAAAACGTAATCAAAGACACTGTCTACAGTCCGTGGATCTCCATCACCTAGTGTGTTCAGCGGACCAGCGGCGATGCTACGTTGCGCATCAGTGAGAGAAATGCAGAGCGCCAAACGTGTACTGGAAACGAATTCACTTGCTCTACAGGTGGATTTAAATAATGTAGTCCCTGTCTCTACAGGAGAACGTCCATATCCGTCTTATGCATATACAAAGACATATTCAATACATGAAGCCATTGCGTAAGTCAGGATTGTATCTTGAACGCCAAATGAATCAAAAGCCGCAATAAAGTGGATCACGGAGAAGCCCATGAGAGCCGATTTAAAGCAGTGTTTGAAAAAGTAAAAAAATGCCACGACTTCAGTGGAGAAGCAAGGGGAACTACCTAGAAGTATACCATGAATATACAAGTAATGTACCTCTGAGTATTAAATAATAAAATAGAACAAAGAGTTTACTCTCACCATCCCGAAATGTTTCAACAGCGAATCGGGTGTTTAGACGAATATGGAGATGTTGCTAAAATCCATGCGCTATTATACGATACTTAAGTCTAGCAGGAGAACTGTGACGATTTGTACCTACAACACATGGATGCTAGCAT